CTGTTACACATTTGTGTCACTGCACCCTCTTCTGGGGACAAGAGCAAGAGGACAGAAAGAGGTAAGAAAAAAAAAAAAATAGCACTTCATGGATTAGGGACGAAGGTCCCCTCCTCTCAGGGTTTAGCTCTTGTGGGTCATGGGATTGCTTAGGGACTAGGATACAATAAAAAAATAAAATATGAAAATAAATTTGAAATTATTTTTTTAAAAAAACAGAAAGAAAAAGATAACAAAATAGGGAATTTCTTCAACCGAGGAAAAAAACAGAAAAACATGACACCACCAAAAGAAACCAGTAAACCTACAGCAATAAATTCAGAAGATTAGTGGATTTATGAAAAGTCTGACAGAGAATTTAAGATAATTAATTTAAAGAGGGCCAGGGAGTCAGAAAAACAAATACAGAGAAAATTATATGAGATTTGGAAAACAATCAGTACAAGAAACTGGACAAGAAACAGAATAAAAGAATAGAAATTGCCGAAGTAAATAAGACCTTATCTGAACGGGAAAACCTGATGGAAAGCTCACACAACAGACTTTATCAAACAGAGGAAATAATAAGTGAGCTCAAAGACAGAACATACGAAATTACCCAATCAGAGTATTAAGGCCACCAAAAAGTAGATTTTTAGCTAAGGCCCTTTATGTAACCTTGCAGCTGGAATGTGTTTATTTGCAGAAAAGCCCTGACAGTTGGTTTAATGGCTAGACAGTTGTTTGCATTTTGGGCTTTTGTAACCCTGATGCCTGCCTGTTTCAAAGAAAGTTGCCTGCTTGTTTAAGCCACCTGAGTTCCGAGANCTAGCTGTAATACATTTTATTATAGAAAACTACTTTTTAATATACAGTAGAAACTTTACTTTCAAAAAGTATAGTAATCTCTACAGTTGTGTTGCCGGCCCTAGGCCAGTGGTTTTCAAACTTTTTGCACTCAGAGATTTGTTACAATCTTAAAAATGAGAATAAGCTAATTTTATGTTGACATATAATAAATATTTTATGAAACTTTGAAAAATCTATAATGTGTGTCTTAATAGAAGCCACCTGAATTTTCATACCTGCTTGTGCTTTCAGTTTGTTGTGACATCATACATTGTGCAGTTTCTGGAAAACTCCACTGTGCACTCTTGAGTGGGTAAGCGTGAAAGAAGAAAATAATATAATGTGATTTACATACTTCTTTATAAACAAATACTCCCATTCCTTTGTATTTTCTCCATGACCTACCTAACATACATATGTATATAAGTAACAATATAAGCAATTTGGGGTTTCTGCAGCATAGAATATTTAAATTGGGATACTTAATTCTGAAGGTCCTAAAATTATCTGTGTCAGGAACTTCAAGAAATATGCAGCCATATTTTTTCTTTCATGTAACAAAGTTCCAGTAAACAAGCAAGTACATATATGCATAATATACAAATACATAATAAATACATGTCTCAGATCATGTGGGATGAAGTAAAGATCTCTCTGACTTAAAATACCTATTTCACCTGCTTTTCCAGGGAAGTCTAACTTGTCCTCTATGCTGAAATGTTACCTCCTCCAGCAGAGTGGTAGCTTCACAACTTCAATTTGCTTACTTAGCCTTTTTCCATACTTCTGTAGCGTGCACGACATTTCTGTACTCATTTTCTTTGCGACTCTCTTTGCTTGCATTTGCATATTGTCATTGACAAAACTAATCACTATAATTTTTGGTACAAAAATAGACCTCTTGCATTTTGGTGTAGTTTATGTTTTTAAGTAAGCATTTCACGTTAAAAACAAAGGGTATCTTTAACAATTAATTGGATATATGTCTATCTGTTCTTTCCCTGTGTTTCATTCGAGAATCTTTGAGTGCACACACAGATGTGTGTGTGCATGTGTGCATGAGAAAAAGACTATCATAAATTAAACTTCTCCATGTTAATATATCAGAGTTTAAAGTATATCATTTTTGCTTGCAACTATGCGTGGATGGATGAAAAACTTTTGCCTACTCAGTGAAATAATGCAATGCTGGACCAAGACAGTAGAACTTACTTAATAAATGGTGCTATAGCTATTTTACTATCAGATTGATAATTAACTAATCTTTTGTAATCAGAGTCTAACTTTCCACACAGCATACTAGACACCATCCAACATCACACGTCTAATGACCACAGTCACTAGAATTATCAATTAAATAATATAGTGCCTCCTCTGTGATATTGAAGAAAAATTATTATATTAATTTGAGTTTGTGGCATTTCTGAAAATTTGTGACATTCTAAAACATTTTTAACTATGTTATATATAGTCACAAATGATTGTGAAATGTTTGGAATGAGTAAAAATTTTAAATATTAAAAATCATATATATTATAAAATATATTTAATATTCCATTAGCATTCATGAGGATTTTAATTGATCTGTGGTCCATAAGGATTTTTTATTATTACTTTTTTTTTGTTGTATTGAGACTGGATAGTTTTTACAGTTCTGTGTTCAGATTCACTGACTCTTTCCCCTATCACCTACATTCTACTATTTAGCTCATCTGGTAAGTTTTATATTTGGGTTATTGTATTTTTTAGTTCTAAAATTTCTGTTGGTTGTTCTTCTTGTTTTCTGTTTCTTTGATTGACCCCTCTATTGTTCTACTTTCAAAGTTTTAATGATTGCTTGTTGGAGTATTTATATAATAGTTTTATTTTATTTATTTATTTTTTTCGATAATTCAAACATCTTTGTTACCTTGGTGTTAACATCTGTTGATTGTCTTTTTCATATGAGTTAAAATGTTTCTGGTTTTTATTATACCAAATGATTTTAGATTATATACTAGATTTTCGAATATTCTGTTTTAATATTTAAATCCTATAAAAATGTTGACATATTTGTTTTAGCAGACAGCTGTTTCAGGCCACAAAAACCAACCTATCTTCTGTGGGCTGTAGTCCTACTGCGAGTTTAGCCTTCAAGGCTTTGCAGTGTTATTTGGATCTGTTTAGCATGTCCACCAGCCAGTGGCCAGTCTGGGACCTGGGCAATAGTCTGCCTGTTAGTTCAATTCTCCATGTCTTTGATATCTCATTAAGGTCAGATACATAGCTGGAGGTGAGCCCCTGAATTTCCTAAATTCTCTATGAGGTCACTTTCCTAAGTTCCTCCCTCTTTGTGCTCTCTCTGGCACCTTCTGTTATTCAAGGAATCCCCCTGTTATTTCTTCAGCCAGAAACTAAGGTTTAGTTAAACCCATGCTGTTATGCATTTGTGTCACTGTGCCCTCTTTTGGGGACAAGAGCAAGAGGACAGAAAGAGACAAGGAAAAAAAAAAAATAGCACTTCATGGATTAGGGAGGAAGGTCCCCTCCTCTCAGGGTTTAGCTCTTGTGGGCCATGGGATTGCTTAGGGATTAGGATACAATTAAAAAAAACTAAAATATTAAAATAAATTTTGAAATTATTAAAAAAAAAACAGAAAGTAAAAGACAACAAAATAGGGAATTTCTTCACCCGAGGAAAAAAACAGAAAAACATGACACCACCAAAAGAAACCAGTAAAACTACAGCAATAAATTCAGAAGATTGGTGGATTTATGAATAGTCTGACAGAGAATTTAAAATAATTAATTTAAAGAGGGCCAGGGAGTCAGAAAAAAAAATACAGAGAAAATTATATGAGATTTGGAAAACAATCAAGGATCAGTACAAGAAACTGGACCAAAAACAGAATAAAAGAATAGAAATTGCGGAAGTAAATAACACCTTATCTGAACTGGAAAATCTGATGGAAAGCTCACACAACAGACTTTATCAAACAGAGGAAATAATAAGTGAGCTCAAAGACAGAACATACAAAATTACCCAATCAGAGTATTAAGGCCACAAAAAATGAGATTTTTAGCTAAGGCCCTTTATGTAACCTTGCAGCTGGAATGTGCTTATTTGCAAAAAACCCCTGACAGTTGGTTTAATGCATAGACAGTTGTTTGCCTTTTTGGCTTCTGTAATCCTGATGCCTGCCTGTTTCAAAGAAAGTTGCCTGCTTGTTTAAGCCACCTGAGTTCCGAGAAACTGCTTGCCCCCGATATATATTTAGAAATTGAAACTTACAGAACTCAACTAACCACACTTCCTGCTTCTGTAAAGTTGCTTAAATAAGACCCTAGTTTCTGTAACTCTGCCTGAATACAGGCAGAGCCAATAAAAGGCTTGTATGCCTGCTCAAGAGAAATATAAAACCACAGCTCTCCCTACACGCAGGGTCCCAGGATTTCAGAACAAGAGTCCACCTGGGTCCCACCTGTATTCCTGACCCACGAGGGTAATAAACTTCCTGACTCACCATCTCTCTGAGTGACTGGAATTATTTCCTCGCCAAGTTCTTTCCATAACAAGAGGACTGAAAATTTTCCACGCATGGAGAAAGTTGACAGCATTCAGCTACAGGAAGCTCAGATGTCATCAATCAATCAAATTCAACTCAAAAAGGAATTCCCCAAGGGCCATCATAATCCAAGTATCAAAAACCAAAGGAAAGCAGCAAGAGGGAAAAGGTACACATAATACTCAAAGGAGCCCCAGTATGGCTTTCCGCAGATTTCTTAACAGAAACCATTCAGTCCAGGAGAGAATGGGATGATATAATCCAAGTGCTGAAGGAAAAAACTGTTGATCAAGAATTCTGTGTCCAGCAAAACTAACCTTCTAATAGGAAGTAGAAATAAGGACTTTCCTAGATAAACAAATGCTAAGGGAATTCATCAGCACTAGACCTGCCTTCCAAGAAATGCTAAAGAGAGTTCGTCAGTCTGAAAGAAGATGCTAATGTGTAAAAAAAAAAAAAAAAAAAAAAAAAAAAAAACATTTGAAGGTATAAAATTCACTAATAAAGTACAAACACAGAAAATTTCAGAATAGTTCAATGCTGTAAGGTTGGTGAATAAACAACTTATGTCTTTAGCATTAATAAAAGACAAGCCTGTTAAAGATAATAACAGATACAACAGCTGTGTAAGAGATAGGCAATATTAATAGATGTAACTTGAAACAACAAAATCTCTGAGAATTACGAATTCCCATTTCTGCTCCATAACAAGAAGAAATAAAAGGCTCCTGGAACTCCTTCTGCGTGTTCCTGGATCCCTCTTCCAGGTTCTGGGGCACGTTGCATTCAGGCTGAGGAGAGCAGATGGGAAATGAATGATAAACTCACTCTCAGGTTTGTAGGTACTTTGCATTTTAGTCTTCTCCAACTTACCTGCTTGTATTTACTTTTTAGAGTCTTCAAATTACTGCTCCATGCATTCTGTTCAGATTTTATAATTTAATTCAGTAGGACAAAGTGAAATATGCATACTGTATCTTACTCAGAACTGAAACTAATTGTTTTTCAAATGTACTATTTTTTTATTATAAGATTAGCATAAATAGCTATTAACAAAATAAATGTGTCTAGACCATAGATTGTTAGACAGTAATAAAGCATGATATTTTGGCAATGACTGTCACAATTTTCCTTTATGATTATAGTGGTGCTAAAACAAGTTTAAATATTGTTGAAAAGTGTTTGGGGCTTTCATGTATTAAAATATGTAAAACATTTTATGTATATGTATACACACACACAAATGTAAACCCTTATGAAATTCTGCTACATCTAACATGCTGCATTGTTGAATGTGACTTTCGCTATTATATGAAATAAGTAAAATAATAAAGATATTTTTAAATGATAAGCATTAACAATTCTCTATATAATGATTTGTTATTCATATATTGTGAAAACAGTGAGAATGTCTTGAAAATATTTCCCAGTTTGAAATGTAGGAGTGAGAAAATACTGGCAGTTATTACTATGTTGATATGGTTTCAGATGTAACAGAACCAATTATCTAAGTTTTTGAAAGATGAATGTATATAATCTAATAAGTGACAGTAATTTATGCACTTTTAGATTTGTTCACTTATTTTTGTCAAGCTATTGCTATTTAACTACTCACTATACAGAAGATAAGGACTATCATTTAGATCCCTTTTTCTAAATAATTTCTATTTTATAATTACATACTAAAATATCCTTTTATACGATATTTTTACTAACCTTGAATCACTTTTTTTTTCAAGATGCTTCCTTTCCATTTTGTTTTGGGACACATTACCACTGCAAATTATAGGTTAGTCAAAAAGATAGCAACTAGGCTAATCTAGTTATGTACTAAAATAAAAGCAGAGCTTAGACAGATTTTCCTATTTAGTGGCATTAGGTATCTTTTTAAACAGATGTCTATAAATACATGTAATGGAAAAGTCATCGTGCATCTATTGCTCCTTTTATGGGATATAAACTTAATAAAACTACTATGAAAAGATAACAAAAGAAAAAGTAAAAAGAACTCTAATTTCTTTTCTTTCCACCTAGAACACCAGAGCACACTTCACAAAAGACAATACACTTCTAATTCTTCTACAAAAATGTTCATCTTTATAAGAAGATGTCTAATTCTTTCCCACTTTATCATATTACATACCTTATAAATGAATTCTGGTTCATAACTTCTTCAGAAAAGTAGTAGAAATTCAGATGAGTGTTCTTTTTGTGGAATCAAAACTTGCTCAAACCTACTCTTCCATTTTGAGTTTTTACCATTCCAAATGTGACATTTGTAGCATTCACACTTCTCCAGGTGTTTCTGGAGCTGTGCAATTTTTAAATGCTTTTATGATCCTGCTGGGCTATCACTCGAGGCTTCAGGACAAGAAACAGAAAATGTATAGGCATGTTAGATATCATGGTATTTAATGCAGGGGATTAAGTGCTTAGAAAATTGTTGCAAATTCTGGAAGACTGAAAGTCAAGGGAGGGCTGCCAGTATGTCTGATAGAAAGAGCGCACAAAAGCCCTATTATCTAGAGGTAGGGAGCTGCTGATGCTGCCACTGTTTCTGTACACACTGTTCCTCTGGGCATCTGAATGAGGACGGGAGGCATAGAAATATTGATTCTATTAGCTGCACCTGCTTCTAAATACTCTTGTTTTTTTGACATCACTTACTAGCCAAAAGCACAGCAGAAAAAATTCTAGTTCCAGAATTCCTGAGTTTATTTATTGAATATAATTTGCATTCTAGAGCCCCAGCTGTAAAGTCATCTAGCAAATATAATTTTGAATTTTCCAATCCTCATTCTATACGGGAGGACCTAGAAGACATTAAAAATTGATGTAAAAAATCAATCAACATATCCAACACATATGGGATATTTATTTTTCTACTGATGTATATATTTTCACTTAACTCTGTTAGTTTTATGAATTAACTTAGTTCAAAACATCTGGATAATTTGTATTTTCTTGTTTTATAATGCCTTCATGTACCATTTCTCTTGAGAATGTAGTTTTTTATGCTGAATGTGAGAATGCTCACATTGGTACTTAGTATCAAATATTTTATGTCTTTCAGATAAGTAGAGAGGAATATCTTAAACTACTCAAGCAGGAGAATACTTACAGAGTTATAAGAATTTTTTTAAATGAAGTTATCTATTATATAATGTTATCAGAATTGGAGAAGTGAGAATTTTGTTTTGACCATAACTTCAGGTTAAAAATATTTTTTTTCAAAATGATTGGAATTGATAAGCAATCCCAAAAGCAAAACATGAAGAAAATTGAAGAGAATATCGTGCACACTCTTTTCATCAACCAGTTGAAATATTTTTATGTTATTGTTTCATAATTATTTGTAGATATAGAGCTTTTTTAAATAATGGGGCAAAGAAAGGATGGGACTGATATAGTATAATGTAATGAGTATGAGAAATACTGAATATTGTACATATATTTTTACAATATAGCTAAATAGGACAGATGAGACTTTTTCTAGTTTTTAAGCCAAATTAGGGTAATACTTTAACCTGTAACTTCACTGTGACTGCACTGCTTGAAAATTTTTTTTATATTTTTAGATCTTACTGTAAAGTTGTGTTATTAGTATACATAAAGTAACTGATGTTTTATATAAAATGAAATTCTGAAAATTATTTTGAGATACTTTCTAATTTGACAATCACGAGTCATTGAAAACAGGTAAACAGCAACTATTGGGTTGGTTTGATATAGGACTCAGAGGAATTTTAAGATATGCTTATGCTCATGTAGGAATAAGGAGGAAATCTAGGACAAAAATTAAGTTCTCTTGATTTGTAACTCATTGCAACTTTCACAAGACTCTACCATAAATTCAGTAAGATACTTTCCTGGAATATATCCTTATTAAGTATTACTTAAGTGCTCAGCCTATTTGGCGAGTTATATTGGCTCTAACTTCTAGTGCAAACAATTTTAAAAGATTCTGCATTATGAACAAGCACCTTAGGGGCCGGCCCTGTGGCTCACTTGGGTGAGTGCAGTGCTGGCAGCGCCAAGGCCGCGGGTTTGGATCCTATATAGGGATGGCCGCTGCGCTCAATGGCTGAGCGTGGTGCAGATGACATAGAGCCAAGGGTTGCGATCCCCTTACCGGTCAAAAAAAAAAAAAAAAAAAAAAACAAGCACCTAGGTTAGACTCTTGGAATTGATTTGATTTATTAACATAAGTATTAAATATTATCTATTAATTCTATCATGAAAACACTTTTTTAGTATGATTTATTTGTGTTGTGTGTGGTATAAGATATATAAATCTCATAGCTCATGTATAATATTATATTTAGACATATGATATATTTACGAGGGTACTTTTAAAAGTTGGTGGAAAAATAGAATTAAAATATAATATTAATCTTCCCACGAACTTTTTGAAGCACCCTAGTATATATTCTACACTGCACATTACACACACACACACACACACACACACACACACGCACACATATCCTTCAAAAGGACTACAAAAAGATTCCCTTGAGAAAAAAGATGTTTGAGTATCCAAAGAAACAATAGTAATTACGTAGCAAGAGGGTAGGTTTGGAGGAGGAGATATTTATCCAATAAACTTGAGTGAAAAGAAAACAGAGGATAACAGAAATGAGAAACATAATAAATGAAAGAAATTGTTATGTAGAAAATTGTAGGTCTTTGCTATTTGTCTGTGTGCCTGTAAGGTGGCATGAAGTGAGAAAGCTGCTGAATTTAGACCAAGATAGGCTTTAGAGGTGTGTGAAAGAATTGGGAGACTACAAAAGGAGATGGGATCAATCAAGCAAAGGAATGGAAGGAGATAAGGTGAAAACTCCAATACTCTTTCATGAGATTGGAAGGAAACAAAGATGGACGGTGGCATATGACCAGATTTTGTTTTTTCGAATGGTATGCCCTCCTTTAGGTCTTTCTGTCAGTGTATGATATCTACATGTAGCATTTTCTTTAGCAGTGTATGCATTAATATACACCACAGGTAGAAAGTACTATGATGTTAAGCATTTTGTCTAAATTCGTTCAACAGTCTTTGGTTAAAAGGAAGAAAAAGGTAAAAAGAAAAATAAGGAGAGGAAGAGAAAGAGAGAGAAATCATCCATTTAACTCCTCAATTTTTCTCTAATTCTTCTTACAGCATCTGGGGTAAGAGGTGATTACGTTCCTGATTGTTTTTTAACCAAATTTTTTCAAAAAATATTAAGTATTCTAAATTAATACCCTGAGTACATGTGTAATTATTTTTTGTTCGCTTTTTTGTTTTTTTCAGAGTTGGTTTTAAGGACTAAACCATTCCTTATTTTTACATTTGATCTACAAAGATCTATACTGTAGTCTGCATCTCAACTCAGTGGAATCTTAATTGACAAAATAAGATGTATGAATAGTAAATTATTCATTTGTTGTTATTCTTGAATTACAAATTATTTTAATACCGTTGACCATTTATGTATTTAGAATGATTATATGAAAATACATCATAAGCTTGTGAAGCTGCAAAATTCCATTGTCTTCTTGGAGTGTGCAAGTTTAATTGTGCTTTGAACATGCTACTCATTTTAAACACACTTGTTCTGTATATGTCAATTTTCTTCCTATTTATGTTGATCATTTGCTCTATATATGAACAAAATATTATTTAATATGCTATTGTGAATTATCTTTTAATTTCTATTTTCCAATCTTCTGCTAGTGGATTTTAGAGACAGTAGTCACTAGATATTTCATACATTTATTATATTTTTATGTGCATTAACCTGAAAATGATTGTTATAGTGATTACAATTACATGAAAGCTGCTAACTTATATCCAAAGTACTCTATGAAGATTTATTTTCTTGGTTTATATGCATGTATGTTCATGGAAGTGGTTGCCAACAAAATGAACAGTTACCTTAAAAACGATGCCAACGTAAGCTAAACAGTGTCACAAGATAGGCAAAAAGACCAAAGTAACAAACAGAATCCAGAAACAGACCAAAACACATATAGACTACTGATTTATGACAAAAATGTCACTGTAACAAGGAGTCCTTGTCTCTACTGGATATATAGGAAAAATAAATATTGAGCTCTACTTCACACCATACACAAAAATAAATTCCAGATGGATTATAAACATCAAGTAAATCTAAATATTAAAACAAAACAATACTTTTTAAAATATAGGAGAGCATTTTTATTTTGGAAAAGCAATCATTTCTTAAAACTGAAATCATTAACCATTAAAAAAACAAATGTTAAACTCTACAAAGAAAAATTATTTGTGACATCAGAAGATATCATTAAGAGAATGATAAATCAAGCCTCAGAGTATAAGAAAATATTATTCATATTATATACAAAAGATCTGTATCCAGAATATATAAAGAATGCCAAAAAATCAATAAGAAGAGGGCAGACTGTCAAATGGAAAAATTGACAATTGTATTTTCCAAAGAGAATACCCAGATCTGTATCCAGAATATATAAAAAATGCCAAAAAATCAGTAAGAAGAGGGCAGACTGTCAAATGGAAAAATTGACAATTGTATTTTCCAAAGAGAATACCCAAATGACCAAAAAACACATGAAAATGTACTTTGTTAGTTTTCAAGGAAATGTAAATTAATCCCACTAGGCAACTATTAGAATTTTTTTAAAGGTACCAAACATTGGCAAGGATAAGGAACAACTTCTCTTCTTATTCATATCTGGTATGGCCATAATTTGGTATAACCACTGGGAAAACCATTGTGTGTGTATATTTCAACTAAGAATATGTCTATCCTATGACCTAGGAATCCCATTCCAATCTCTAGATTTTTAAAAAATGTATACACATTTTCCCCCAAGACATGAATGAACAAGACTATTCTTGTCCATGAGTATTATTCTAAGTAGCTGCCAACCAAACATTACCAAAATGCCCATTAACTATAAAATAGATCTACCAAAGTAAATAATCATAATATCGATAGAAAAAGGCCATGCACAAAATTTTACATAGTGTAAGCTTTGTGTGTGTGTGTGTGTGTGTGTTTAACTTTTATGGCAACATATTGATTGTACATGTTTATGGGGTACAGAGTTATATTTCAATATCTGTGTACAATGTGTATCTATTCAGGGTAATGGGCATATTCATTGTTGCAAAACTTATTCATTTCTTTGTGATGTGCACATTT